TTCATTCAAGAGAATAAAAAATCTTCCAATCATGATTCAAGAATTCTTTTAAACTTCAAACTTGCCTTGTTTTGTTCCATCATAAGAAATACACTTCAGCAGTGATCCAGTATTGAACTTGAGCTATGCAAGCTTCATCTGGAACTCGCTAATTCATATCCAAAGATCACAGCCGTTGAACAAAAGTCTTGGTGTAGAACTGAGAATACGGTTAACCGTCATAGAAACACTCTTGCATTTAAATTCCAAAACCTTCGTTTACAGTCTTCCAATTTAAGTAGTTCAAAAAAATATTCCCACTGTAAATATTAAGCCAATACTTAATATTTCTAGGGTTAGTTTATCAGAAGAACAAGAGAGAGTTCTGAAATATAATTTTAACTTCTCAAAAACCTCAAAACCCTCGATTCCAAAAATTTTGACTCCTATTGAAAAAGCTTTCAAATTCAGTAAAGTTTCAAATACATAGAAAGAAATGATTAGGCATCTGATTGCCCATAATGTGAAATTCAACAATAAGCTTTTGGAATCAAATCTAAACTCGAGAGAAAGAGCTACATTGTGTGAAATTCATTCTAACCTGAACATTATCATTTCAAAGGCCGACGAAGGTGGCCAGATAGTCGTCATGAACACGAACACTTATATTGATGAGGTCACTAAATTCTTAAATGAAGTATCATATAGTCTGATCCCTAAAGACCTTCACCTTTGGACCTATCAAAAATAAAAATTTGGATCAAATCTTCAAAAGTGCTTGCAAACCAACTTAAAACCACCTTAAAACAGTCGCTTATCCCTTCTGTTGTGAATTGTGCCAGATTGTATGCTTTTCCTAAAACTCATAAAAGTGGTATTCCTTTTCAAACTATTGTTTCAAATTTAGGCAGTGCCTCGTAACCCTTAGCTAAATACTTAGTTTCTAGATTTTCAACTGTATTAGATAATAACATTTACACACACAAACACACATACACCATATGAATTTGTATCTCCTGGAAATTTACTCATGGTTTCTTTTGATGTAAAATTATTATTCACCAATATTCCAGTGGTTAAGATGTCTAGAAACTAGACTTCGTGAATTTCATTTCTCCTGAATCAAAATTGATGAGCTAATTCCTGTTACTCACTTCTGTTTTAAACAAATGCACTTTGTTGTAACTGAGCCATGGGAAAATCTCTTAGTCCCATCCTGTCTGATATCTGCTGCATTATTATGAATCAAAATTGTTTTAAAATTTGCAGTATGATTAAACTATTTAGGTGATACTTTTACCCTGTTTGATGGTAATAAAGATGATTTAAATAAAGTACTTTTAGTAATGAATTCCATTGATAATGCTATTCAGTTGATTTCTTAACTTGAGACATGTCTTCCATTCCTCGACATTTTGGTCACATGTAACACATCCAACTTCATTACTACTGTTTACCGTAAGCCTTCATTTGTTTACCTTCTGCTGCACTTCAAATCATGTCATCTAACTAAACAAAAGTTTGTTTTCCATGAACTTCAAATTTGCTGCTCTATGTTGGCTCTTGATTAAGAAATGGTTAATGATTCTAATTCCAATCCATCTTTTTTTTTCAGCCATTAAGGAAATTATGTTTTAGTTTTCTTGTTTCATCAATAGATGGTGCCAGTAGCTTAATTCCTATCCAACCATTTTTATCTTATCTTTTCACTATATTTTATCTTGTTCATTTGCACTTTTGCAGCTGAGAATGATGATGGTCCAAAACTAGTCCTGAAAAAATTTGAAAAATATAATGCTGATTTTTGTTGTTTGACTTCTAAATTAAGCATAATAAGGTTTCTATAATCATCAGGAGTCTGTGGGAATACTTTTGGCAGTTCATGATTAATTTTCTATAAGAATTTAGAATAAGTTTCTTTGTTTAATTTAATTTCTGTTGTTTAATTTAAGAGAAAAATTCCAATTTCAAACTACTAATTTCACCATTGGTGGTGAAATGGCAGTAGTTTGGGAGATCAAGTGCATTCTACTGAATTACCTCAATCAGACAGGAAGTGCGAACATTATAATCCAGAGCAGCAACTTTATTATACAGTCTACCGGAAAGTTCTATCCGTTTTTGAAATAAAACAAAAAACAAATTTTTCTTACCATCAGTAAACTTTATTAAAATAATATAATTGCCATTTTTATTAATGACTTCTTGCCAGTGTGAGGGCAATTTGTATATCCCATTTTCGAAAAATGATGTAACTTTTGATGCGAAAAATTGAGCTGGTGCTTGTTTAATATCTACTTCATTTTTGAATTTTTTGCCCTTCAAAAAATTTGTAAGGACAAAAACAAGTGATAGTCAGAGGGTGCTAAGTCCGTGGAATATGGTGTATGTGACAGAATTTCCCAGCCTAGTTCTACAATTTTTTGACGAGTTCCCAAAGCAGCATGTGGCTTGGCATGATCATGATCTTTTCTTGGACTGTTGTTGGCCTGGCCTCTTTTCTTGGACTGTTGTCTTTAAATAGTCTAAATGCTGACAGTACTTCTCTGAATTGAGCTTTTTGTTCAGTTTTAAAAGCTCATAATGTGTTGGTCCTCGAATGCCGCACCATATACACAACATTCTCCTTATTCAGGGTCAAGTTTGGTTTAGAGGTGGGAGGGCTAGGTTTCCTGGGTTCACAATATGCCCTTTCCCTTACGATGTTTCCGTGGGTGATCCACTTTTTATTCCCAGTTATCATCCGGTTCAAGAAGGGCTTCCTTTTGTTCGGAGCAAGCAGAGATGTGCGTATGATGACTCGATCATTCAAATTCTTCTGACTTGATTCATGTGGCACCCATCTTGAATATTTCCACACCAATCCTATCTTCCAAATATGGTTCGAAATGGCTTTGCTGAGCTGAATTAAGTGAGCAGAGAATTTCTGTGATCTCTGATTTGTTGTCACAAAAGGATCTTGCTCCAACATGGTTGTAACAACACCGTCTTCGATCAAAGATGATCACCCAGAACGTGGCTTATCAAAAAGTTCAAAATCACCTATTTCAAATTTTTTGAACCATCTTCTGCATGCTTTATAAAAAACTGTACCTTCACCAAACACTTTCAATAAATTTCTACATGCATCTGTAGCATTTCTTACTTGTTGAAATTCGTATAAAATACAGCAGCATAAATGAACTTTATCAATGGCCATGGGTACACTATCGCTTCACACTTAATACTAACGTGAATCAACTTTGTTTTAGTTAACTTGTTACTTTAGTATGTATATATTAAGCAATAAAAATAGAGAGCCGAACATACAGCAAATTTTTATGTGCTTACGTGTCGAAAACTGTTGTCAAAAAACGGACGTAACTTTCCCGCAGACCGAATATTAACTTCAAGCGCATTTTAAGTTTTTCACCTCGTAAGTGTTTGACTGTTTTACGCAGCATTTTATAACCATTACTATTAATAAAGTGACAATTATTTTCAACATTAGATTTATGTTTAATAATTTTAGGATTGCTTTTAGAGATGTTTTTAAATACGGCTTTACTTCTAGAATTGCCTGCAGAATGGTCAAACTGCACTAACCTCTAAAATTGGCGACATCCATCTTGAGTTCTTGCAACAACTTGAGCAACAACGGTTCAGAGACCACATTGATATCTGACATCGATCATCTTTGCTGATAGAGATTAAAAAAGTGTTTAATATTATTGATTTAAATTTCTAATTCTTGATTAATTAATACAAATAATCCTGAGAATTAAGTATATTTTCAGAATTGGTAGGAGCCACTCCAACACAGCTTTCATTACTCAGTACTAACTTCATAGGGACACTCTCGTCCAAACGACTACCATGTATCGCCATTAGGCTTAGCATTTCTGGGCATTTCATTCATTTTTATGAGCGACAAAGTTTGAATTTTAAATGTATGGGAAAATTAAAATTAACTGATGTAATTATGAAAATAAGAACAGCTAATTGTCACATTAATTTTTTTTAAAAAACATAAGATTAAACAAACTGCATTTGGGATGTCTGTCATACATCTGTTTTATTTAATTTGTCCATCGAACTTGATGAGAACCATAAAAGTATTTAGGCTTTCAGCATAAAATTTTATTTTTTGAAATTGATTTCAGTCCATATTATTATTTTCTTTCATGTATATTTGTTTATATTTATTTTAGGATATATCTGTTATTGTTATAAAAGAAAAATTAATCTGAAAATACTAGAACAGCTGAAACAACTAATTTATTTCTACTCTGTATGTATTTTTTTGGAATTGATTAACTTGTCCAAACACTTTTGCTGTCTTACTCACTTTGGCATGAAACTTCCTTTCAGCTTTAATTATTATTTTAAAGTTAAATCTGTCATTTTCTTGGAGGGAGTGAAGAGTTTTTATTTGTGAATTAAAAAAATTGCATATAAAATATATGAAAAAAAAAAAAAAGAAAAAAGAAAAAAACGTGGGAAACAATGATGCCTGATGAAGTTTTCCAGGTACATAAATAACGTTATGCAAGAATGAGCTGTTTACAGGCTATTCTTATTTGTTATTTTTACATTTTGATTGAAGTCAGCAGTAGTGTTTATCAGTAGAAAATTTAATTGAAGAATTTAAATTTCAACCACGTTTTTTTTTTTAAAATTTTAATTATTATTTTTGTGTTATTGCAGTGAGAAATTAGCCATCAAATGGATCAAAGCAAAATATGTTTATTGATGGATTCTGCTTTGATGTGAGACTATGAATTCATAACGAATTACATTAAAGTGATCAAGTATAGAATTGATGTTGACATTAGTTTTCATGACTGTCATCATTTAAAAAATTTTAAAATAATTTCCAGTAACTCAGATTTTTTTGCTAATGAAATAATTATGTAGAATATATTTGTTGAAATGAATTGCTCAAACCTTTCCCTTTATTTTCAGACTAGTTATGCTGTGCTTGTAGTCATTGTAATTATATGCCTACTTTTTATAGTAAATTCAGGTTATTTTTATTGCAGCGTACTAGAAGCATTCCTGCTAATTTGAATCAAGCAGAGCAAGATTTAGTCAGTGAAAAGCGTTCACTTTCCAGCTCAGCATTAAACGGAATAGCAAAAGCTAATGGTCAAAATAATTCTCCTTTAGTTCCTTTAAATTCCCCACCTGTTAAAGAAGCTCAGATGACTCCTTCTACACCCAAAAAACTACCAAGCCTTACTCAAGATCAGCTGAAAGCATTGTCTGGTATGTGATATGAGCACTTAAGTGATAAGCACTTTATGCGGGCAAAGTTAATCAGTAGTATATTTTCCTTAATAAGATTTATGATAATTACTGTGTTTCTTTGATGTAATTAAATATACTTATATAATATATTATGTATTTTAAATTGGTGATCGCTGTACTTTTACTGCTCCAATGGCTGAGTAGTTAAAGTTAAGACTGCTCATTACTAGGAGTACAACCTAGGTTCAGTCCCAGGAGAATGGGCCAACTGCATGATGGATTTTCACGGTTTTCCCCATATGTTACATGAATATGACCCAGTTTCTGTTAGAAAATCCTCCACAAAGGCCTCTTCTTAGGTAGATGTCTCTCGAGGGCTTTGCTACATTCTAATAACCTAACCTCTACTTTTAATTAAAAAAATCTGGGAGGAAAAATAAAATAGTCTTGAATAATAGTCTTGTATGTTTTATCAAGTATTCATTTCTACTGTGAAGTTCTTCGAAAGGAATTTTATGTAGTCATAAGAAGTAATTTTCCTCTGCTACTCGTTCCCTTCAATATGGCTGGCTGTTGTATTATATTCTTATTTTTCATGTTTATATGTCTGTATCGAATTGGATAAATTAAGTAATGGGATCTCAAAATGCAATTTTGCATAGTTCACTGTAAATGTGTTGTGTCACTTTTCATTTGAATCTGATGACATTCAGAAAAACGTCATATCCTTTAATATTTAATCTGTCTATTATTAGTTAGCAAACTAAACCAGGGGTCCCTAAAGTGTGCACCGCAGTGCTCTGGGGTACCGTAATGTAAGACCCGGTGTGCCACGAGAGACAAGACTTGCGTTGAAAGCTCAGACCTAGTTTTTTTATTAATTATACTTTCATTAATTTTATGTTATTTCTTAAAATAATAGTTTAATCAATATATATATTTCAATTGGCAATATAATTCCATTTAAATTATATTTTTAACATTTTTTATTTCTACTTTTTATCTAAAGTAATTCTTGCTCTTAATTTCATTTTTTAAAGAGCTATTTTATTCTGTCACTTAGTTCTTTCTATTTGCAATAATTCTTTGTTGTTGCATCAGATTGTACTCCATTATTCTCATACTTGTTTTGCACCTATTACTTTCTGTCGCAAGATTGCTATATTTGGCATCTCAGCAAGGGTATCTGCTTGTGTTTCTTTTTATCCATTTGTGACTACCAGTATCAAACTCAGGAATGGATGAGGAAAGTTGTACAGTCTTATGTGTGAATGAAAAAAAAGTCAATCTCGACAAAATATTGCAATGAATAGACAAATCCTTAGTGATATTTCACAAAATGAAATTATTTTTATTAAATAAGCAAACAGATAGTAACGATATTTCAAGTTTAAGTGACAAGGCTTCAACAAATGGCAGAGAAGAAAAGAGGCGAAAATGTCGTAACTACAAGCAAAGTTACTTTGATTTTGCTTTTACTTGAGCAAAAGTAAGCAATGATAAAAGACAATTATGACAAATGTGTTGTGTCTTTAACAGAATCTGTACGATCTAAAGTATGCACTTAGTAAACTAAAGAGACACCTCTAGATCATTCACACTAACTTGGTCTCATGATTTAGTGGGAAGTTGAAAGATTTAAAATAGCAAAGCAGTGTGTTCATAAACAAGTGTCAGTTTCAAGTAATGCACAGCTAGTGTCTTTCAAGGTAGCTGACAGAGAGATGAAGTGCAAAAAAACACACACTATCGCAGAAGAGCTGCTTTTGACATGGTTAACATTATGATGGGAAAACTCATTTCTAAGGTACCTGTAGATTGAGTGTTCAACAAGTTCTAAAGCTATAAAGATCCTCATTCCTTTTGCGATGAAGCTTGGTTTTCAGCTGTCGTTCTAATAAAGACCAAATATTGTTCGAAAACTAGAGTGTGGATCAAGAAATGAAAATAGCTGTCTCAATATGTAGAATAGCTGTAGCCATCTTTCGTGATTTTAAAAACTGTAGGGGGGATCAACAAGCTTACCTGTCACAATGACTTTCTAATTTGTTGCTGACGGTTTCTTTTATTTGTATTTGATTTGTATGTTTTATGATTAATTAAAATATTTTTCCACTAAAATATTTTTATGTCTGTGCTTGATTAACGTTATGATAGAAATATGGCAGCCAGCACACGATAAAAAATTAAACAAACTGTAAATGTGCCATGCACTGAAACAGTTTGGGAAATCCTGAACTAAACTATTTAAAAGCAGTAGGTGCATATCTTAAAAATATTATTATTTTGTGTTAAAATTGTGTTAAAAATATTATTATACTCTTTAACCTTTTAACTGTCATGCCCGAGATAATCTCAGGCACAGCACTGGTGTTCGAAAATGTCACGCCCGAGTATTACACGGGGTAATTTTTTTTTTTTTTTTTTTTTTTTTTGAGTGCATCGTATTGTTATACCCGAATATATATCGGGAGACGTTTATTTTGGCTTCATCTCTTTGTCAAACCCGACTGTATCTCGGGAAAAGTTAATGTGCGCTCTGTTCAATAGATGACAGCACTTTACTGAAGATTTCAAAGGTTAGAAGTTATAAGTTCTTTGGTTCAAAGTGCATGGGATCTTTTTGTTGTAAAATGGCGTCCAGTTCTTTGAAAGGTTATATAGATGATTTAGATTCTTCAACCAAAGATGAAGGATGTGTGTTTGATGAGCAGTATTCATGATACTTCCATGGTCAGCCTCAAAAATAAAAAAATGGAGATATACTCAAGGCGAAGATTGTTTCTAATTGCAGTCTAACTATGGGTGGTGTAGATCGCTGTGATTAGGAAATATCATTTCATCCAACAATCCGTTAAACGTCAGAAAAAATATTATAAAAAGATATTTTTACATTTACTAGACAAGGTACTATGGAACTCATATTTGCTCTATAAAAATGATTGTTTTTAAAAACAAACATTTCTAGAATTCCAAGTTGTAGAAGAGCTTTTACATAAATATGGATGATGCAGCTTCTGGACAAAAGAATGTTGGCAGACCACCAACAATAGATAACCCTGCCCATCTTACTGAACATGACATTTTCATTTCCCATATTCCTTCTACTCCTGTGGAACGTGGGCCTACAGGACAGTGCAAAGTGTGTTGTTCGAAAAAGGATAAAAATGGTGAAAAGATAAGGAAGGAAACCACGATTCTGGTGTAGTGATTAGTGGAGTTGGTTTGTGCTTGGAAAAGTGTTTCCAGTTGTACCACACAAGACTGAATTACTGAACTACTAATAGGTATTCACTTTATATTTATTTCTTTTTTAGAAAATATAAATTTTTTTCATTTTTAGAATAATGCTCCACTAGAAGCGAACTTTACAACTGCCATTTTGAGTGGCAGCCGCCTCAAGCAAATATGCAGTGGCTACAAAACTTTAAAAATTTTTTACCCATGTACTTTCAAAATATCAATTTTTAACTACTTAAGAATATTTTATTTTGTACTAAACATTTGATTTTTGCAATAAAAAAATTTGACAATTTGTGTACCCAAATCATCAAAATAACTTGACAGTTAAAGAGTTAATTTGATTGATTTAAATAAAAATTTGTTTTAAGTCCTTAATTAAAAATCTAATTAAAACCATAAAATATTTTTACTTAAAATATTGATAGCTGTACATTTCATATTTTTTTCCATTTTTTAAATACACAGGAGATGTACACTGCAGCAAAAAAAAAAAAAAAAAAAAAAAAAGGGGGGGGGGACAGTTCGATATCTCCCGTTCTACTGGGCCAATTGACAAAATTCAAATTGCGTATTTCATGTCTCGAAAGCGTGATTTAGGATATATAGCATCGTATTTATATATAGCATTGTTCTAACGTAGATATTTTGACACAAAATCGGACTTTTTCTGAAATAACATATGAGTTTGTTTCCATATTTCGATTTTACGACTCAAATTATGCCTAGATATAAATTTTTTTTAAAATTTGGTGCGAAATTTATGGAGAAATTCAAAAATTTATCTTATCACAATTTTTTTTCAGTTTGCACCAAGAGTCATACACTTGGTGAACTTCTTAATATATGGCAATCAATTTTCCTTTCTCTTCCATTATGCCAGAGAGGAAAAAAAAGGCACCTCGTTCCTACCTTTTTACATTGTGCATGAGCGGAAAAAAGTCACATTGTTCTTACTTTCAGATAATTTTAGCAAAGTGTCTAAACCACATTTGATGTTTTATCGCTTTCAACAAATATGCCGAATTTCAAAACGTGCCAATATGTAAATTCACATATATCTTTGGAAATTTTGAATAAAAAACTGTAATTTTTTGCTGGTATGCTTAGAAATACGTCTACTTTAAGATGATGCTAGAAGTTTTACAGATTATAATTCAAAGTTTTTTTGAAAAATTTATAAAATAATTAAATAATACAAATTTTAGAAATAAATCATAAAAAAATGAGTGAATTTTATTTGGAATGAACCTGAATTTCGAAATGTGAAAGGAAAAATCAAATAAGTTTAATAAAAAAAGAGATTAATAAATATATACCAAACTCAATTAACATTGAGGAGCTAAAATTTTGAGAGCTAATTTTTTAAAAACTGCTGTTGCGATTTTTACAAAACGTGGTAGTTTTTCGTTATTTGAGTCGTAGAATTGAAATATGAAAAAAATTGGTATGCTATTCCAGAAAAAGTCCGATTTTGTGTCAGAATACCTATATTAGAACAATGCTATATATAAATCTAATACATATCGTAAGTCACGCTTTCAAGACATGAAAAACGTAAGTTGAATTTCGTCAATCGGCCCTGTAGAACGAGAAATATAGAACTGTTCCCCCCTTTTTTTTTGTGCAGTGTACATTCTAGTGTTAGTCTAAATGCACATTCGTCTGATATGCTGTAAAATGTTTTGCTATTCCAACTGGGTCATCTGTATCAATAATCCATATTGGTAAACCATATTAAATTTTAAAGAGACCTTTTGTGCAATTCTTAAAATCTGTTTTTTGGAGGTTTAAATTTTTTTTAGTTTAAAAAAAGGTTACTTCTAATGTTGTTTTCATAAAATAATAAAATTTTTTTTTAAAAAAAGTGAGGGGAAAGGAAAAAGAAAAGCAATAAAAAGTAAAATTTTGTTAACAAAAATTTAAGTTATAATAAAGAGGGTACAATATTGCTAGTTTAGAGGAAATGTTTAGCATTTGAATAATATAATAGTAAATGATTTAACAATGTGCATATTCAAAAGCTTTTCATTTTCAGATTTCTATATGCAACATATTTATGCATTATATTCATGAAAATATTTAGGGATCTATAGAAGTGAAATCAAGCTTGAATGTAAATTAAGCAAATATATTGCTAGCATCTTTATTGCAAAAAGAATGCTGTATTGAAATACTGCTTATTCCAGTTATTAAAAATAAACTGCTAAAAACTCATATTGCACCCATATTAGAATAATGTCTAGTATTTTTAACATATCTTTTTTTTTTTCTTTTAAATTGCTGAAAATAAACTTGTAATTAAATTTAAAGTGTATTCTGTGAATATTGAATATAATGGAAAACCAAAAATACACACTGCTTGGGATTTGAGATTATGTGAATTCTTAAAGTCTTGCAGATTTCAGATCACAAATGAAAACTTTGTTAAAATTGCATTAAAAAGTAAAGGATGAATGAATAAAAATAAGTTTTAAAGGAAATACACATTAAGTATATTATAATTTTGTATGGAAAGGAAACAAAAAGTGCATTATAATTAATTATATTTTACATTTTGCAAACACAATTGTATTCTGTCTTTTGCAAACATCTGTTCTACAGTAGTTTGTTTTAAAACTTTAGGATGTTCTAATTTGAGCCTGCCTTTCCTGAAATTACACAAAATTGCTTTGACTTCTCATTCATTTATTTCATCATTACATGCTGGAAAATTGTGAGTTTATTTAGAACTTATGAAATGTCATTCATTAAAATTGCCAGTGCGAATCAGTTAAAACTATTTCTCAGGAAATTAATTAAAAAGAAGTGAAATGACACTTCAGTAAATTTGAATAATATGCATCTTCTATTTGCATTATAAATTTTGTGAGAATCTAGTGTTCCAAAGAGACATGATATTAGATTAGCTGCTTTTGGGTGTGGGGTATACATCTGTTCCATTGGTATAATCACATTGCCTGTTTTTAGAGACATAAATAGATAACTGATGCAAGGATTCCTCCATTCTTTAATCTTGTGCCACCTTAAATATAAGGAATGCAACCTTCATGGAACATGACTTTTTCTGTATGGATTACTCTAATATTTTAGAAGAAGATGTTTTTTTTTATAATATTCATTGGAATCCAGTGTTTGAATTTGTAATATATTTATAGTTGAATTAAGAGAGTACAATAAAAGCTATGAAATTTTAATATGCGTCGTTCCTTCTAATAATTAGTGAAAATTTCGTTAAACTAAAGAAAATATGTATAATATGCAGAAGCTAAAACAAATAAAGAGGCCTGGTGGCGCAGTGGCTAGCGCATCGTGCAGCAGCACCACAGATCTGGGGCTGGATTCAAGGGCTAGGCAAGGTTTCATCCCTTGATTTCCATCACTTGGGTCAATAAAATGAGTACCAAGTTCACTTGGGGACTAAACACTGGGGGTCCTGCGACAAGCTGACCACTTGTTCAAGGCATATGCTTATGCATCCCAGGGCCCATGGTCAAGAAAGCAGATTTCGGGCATTGCAGGCCTTGGCCCATTAGGGCTGTTACGCCACTAAGTTTAGTTTTTAAAACAAATAAAAATAGTTAAATAAAATAGTTAGATTTGCCAACAGTAATGGCACAAAAATGTTTTTTCATTCAAAATCATGTAACTTGAAAATGTAAGATTCAAATTTTGTATTTTATTTATTTGTTTATTATAAATGTATTTTAGATCTCACTCCTGAATTAGAAGTAAGAAAATCTCTTCTTAATAGTGCAAGAGCTGAATTAGAAAGTTTTTCATTGGTTGGAAAAAGGCTAGTCAGTGAAACAGAATGGCAGTTGTTGGAGGAAGAGGTCATTATTTCTTATATTTGTGTGCACATTTTCTGTGCCATAAAATGTCTTCATTTAAATTTATATTTGTAATCATATTTATTTATTTATTTTTGGAATTTTTATAAACAGGTAGATTTTAGTATTTTTTCCTTAGCAATGCAGTAATTTTTTATGTTTCTAATATATATATATATATACAATATTTGCTGTTTATGTAAATAATGCTTGTTTTACTTATTTCAATTCTTTAAAGAAATTTGTTCTTAATGATAGAGATTTTTTTTAAATGTTGTTCAAATAGTAAAAACTATTGCAATTGCATCAGATTTAAATTATCCTAATGCAAATCAAGAATTACTGAAGCTTTTTGCATTTAAAGCATATCTTGTTTTGCAGATTAAACCTGACTACTTAAAAGTAATTATGTGTATGTGTTTAATATATAAATGTAAAATATAAAAGACATTAATTTCCTTTAAATTTCTTATTTAAGTGACAATCCCCTTCGCTTCTGCAGTGACATCCTTTCTGTTCCTGCAGTATTCTGCATTGCTGTAGACTTTTGCCCAATCTCTGCTCAGGATTCAATAACCTCTTTGTCTCTTTCTTCACTATCAGTAATGGCATTTTTTTGGATCCATACTACAGATTTCGACGTCCATTAATTGGCTAATGATTGGGGCATTGCATTGCAATGAAAATCTTCTGTTATGTCATCTTCATTTATTACTGCTTCTCCACATTTCTTTAAAAAATCGATTAAATGGAAAATTTTACCTTTGGTGTGTGATATCCAAAAATCTTCAAATCCACAGCTATTATATTCATCAAATATGGTAACTGGCCATAAATTATGCTAAACATTTTTTGAAGTATCTGGAAACACATCTCCATATAATCTTATGCCGATGTTCCACACAGCAGATTTTTATGCTAAAATATCTCAAAAACTCTTGAATAGTCTTCCCATTATTTAAAAAATTTAACATGGATTTTAAAAATTCTACTTTATATTTGCATTTTAGTGCGCACACTATTCCGATATCCATAGGCTGACTGATGGACTTACATTTTGGAAGAAAGAATAATACGAATACATAATCTTTCACTAAAACTTTAAGTGACGTATGAGTCAAACAGTTCTTTACAGTCAGGACAATTTTTGCATCATCAGGTAAACCAACAGAGTTTGGCTGAGCCTCAGTATGAAATGATTTCAAACCAATCATTCATTAACACGTGTGTCATCCGTACTCTTTTATTTGCATGAATATGTAACGGGGAATATCTTTACAGCTTTAAATGCTCGGGGTCGTGTAATTTTCCATTTACGAAAAGTTTACACTTGTGTGTTCCTGCAGCATTTGCACATGCTAAAATTGTTAGTCTCTCTTTGGAAGGAATCTTTGACACCAGTTGGAGCCTTTTCTGTAGAGGATCCCAAGGTATTTTGGGATACATATTGCGAGAAAAGACCTGTTTCATCAGTGTTGTAAATTTGTTCTGGAGATATTTTTACGCTATTAATGAGTTCAATGAATTCATCTGAAAATAGTTCATCAGGTTCAGTATCAGCTGAGGCATTTTCACCTGAAATTTTTAGTTTCCTCATACCATATCAATTTTTAAATTTGGTTAACCAACCTATCGAATATGTGCACTCAGTTAGTAAGTTTATTTTTTCGTGAAATATTTTAGCTTGAGCCATTAGCATTGGACCCATCAATTTCAAGCTCTTCCTGCGATGCTGTCTGACCCATTCAATCATCCTTTTGTCATGATCTTTACTTTTAGCATAACGAATAATTTTTCTGTTATTCATTGTAAGTGGGGTGTTGGAATCCACAAAAATTTCAAAAAGTTTCCTTTTCTGTTTTCTTATGTCATATACATTTGACTTTCCAATGCCATGCTCCTTGCATAATTTTGAGACAGATATACCTTCACCCGTACTTTACAGTAATTCCACTTTTTGTTTAATGGACATCAAAACACGCTTTCGGTTTGTAAATTATGCTGCGGCACTAGAATTTGAAATTATTGACATAATCGAATGTTACTTTTAATTTTCATAAAAGTGCTGTAATAAAAACAGCCTGCAAAAAATAATAAGTGGCTCAAATCAGAGAGTTAAGGAACAGCACAATCTGCTATATTGACTGAAATTCCTTGGAATCAGTAAAGTGTAATTTTAGCCTAGCTTAATAGCATCCACTATTCATTATTGTCTGTGTGTCATGAGACTGACAGCGATAGACAAGTTGTTCCACTTAATTTTTTCTTCCTTGTATTGCGCACCGAGACAATTAAGCCTGAATCGCATTAGTTTAGTTATTTAATATACTTGCTTATATCTGAATCCCGAATAAACAAATTCCAACATATACTTAAGGCTTATTGAGGACCAGCACCGTCTTACCGTCTGCGGATCCTAAATTCTTCTACTAAGTGCCTCCCTAAGTTCTAAATTTTTGCTCCTAAATATTAGATCTCAGTGCTTTTCCTAAATTCTAAAAAAATGTTCATCCTTTAATTTTGTTGCCCGGTGCTCCTCTAAATTTAAAAAAAAAAAAAAAAAACCCACTAAATTTTGCCATCTCTGGGGCCGATTCTGAGTTTATGTGAGTAACAAATCAGTTATTCCTTATTCAAATAGGACTAAATGTAATCTTTTGGCATATGAGTATCATTAACAATATTTTTAGCTTATGAAAAGAAATTTAAAAAATTTTTTTCTCATCAGCATTTCTGTGCACATTTAACTTAAATCTGTAATTATTGCAAAGTGTAATGTCATCATAAAAGGTTACATACTCTATTAAGAAAGTCAATACTGCACAAAAGGCTACAACTCGTGCCAGCTTTCATGTGGCTCTTTAAATTGCAAAACATGGAAAACTATTCACCGATGGAGAAATGATCAAAGAATGCATGATTGCAGTAGCCGAAGAAGTGTGCCCCGAAAAGGTGAATTTATTCAAAACTATCAGTTTGTCAGCAACCACCGTGGCTCGGAGGTTTGAAGACATCGCAGAAAATATATCATCTCAACAGTCTGACAAAAATGCATATCTAGAGAGGTTTTCTCTGGCCTTGGATGAGTTAATGGATGTGTCAGATAATGCTCAGTCATTGATTTTTATTCGAGGAGTAGAGGTACAGGCAGAAACGTGGTAAAAATAAAAGAATGGTGGCGGTTGTGTCAAAGGCTGTAAAAACCGATTGTGGTTCAAAACCACTAGTTTTACATTGTATCATTTATCAATAATCCTTGTGCAGTAAGTGTTTGGATATGTCTGAAGTTCTAAAACCAGTCATATCAGTTGTTAATTTCATCAGATCCACTTAATCAGCAACAATGCCCCGAGTTTATTGACGAGATTGGAGAAAATAACTCATCACATCATACTGCCATACACTGGCTTAGTTGCAGAAAAGTCCTTCTGACCTTTTTAGAGCTTCGAGCAGTGATCGAAATTTTTTTGAATGAAAAGCATCGTCCTCTTAACAAATTGCAAAATAGCTAATGACTGTCTGTGTTGATTTGACAAAACATATGAAGAACTGTATTTGAGATTGCAAGGAGAAAACCAGCTTCTCCCTTATTTATACACTAATATAAAATTGTTCCAGCAGAAAATAATACTGTTTCAATCACAGTTCCATAAAAAATTTTTCACACTTTTTAAAACATGTGAAATATTCAGCCACATTACTGAGACTGAATTTCCTGTAGATTTTGTAATTGAAGCTTTGAGTGTTTTGAAGGTAAATTTTGATACACATTTCTCAGAATTTGATGTCATTGTGAATGAAATTAAGGCTTTGCAAAATCCTTTTGATACTTTGACATTGAAACCCTAGTTGAGGAATTGAAATTATTGATTTACAGTGCAGTGATATAATTATAAATATCAAAACTTATCTTTGTTGGTATTTTATGAAAATCTTCCACTGGTACAATTTGAAAAGTTGCACAAATTTGTTCATGGTTTGCTTCATGTTTTTGGTACTACTTACTGGTCTAAAAAAACATTCTCCAAAATGAAGAACACAAAGTATGTTTACATACGTAAGCTAACTGGTGAGGATCTTAAATCTCTTTTAGTAATTTGTGCATGTAAAATTGGTTCATAACTACAAACTATTGTCAGCAGAAAAGCACAATAGCATAAATCTGATTAGTATTTTTTACAAGTGAACACTTATCATTAAGCTTTACCTAGTAAGTAAATAAAACTGAGTTATTATTATTCTGTGTTTTTTATCCAAGTTATAACAACAATAAGCCATTAGCTGTTGCAAGCCAAATTGATAGCACTGACAGGCCGGATTTGGCCCATGGCCATAGTTTGTAGACCCCTGCTTTGAATAAATCAAACGACAAACTCATTTGTTATTCAAAAAGTGACAAATTTTCAGCAAAAGTGTTCTCAAGAAAATTACTGTATACAGTTAATTTTTATGTATTTTAGAATTGTATTCCATTTCTGTTAAAATACTGCCATGCATTTTAACAGAAATGGAATACAATCTCAGGCCTGTAGTCTAATGAATAACAGTTAACAAAAAAAGAGGAAAACTTTGTTCCAATATTGCAGTGCATTATTATAGCATGGTATGAAGATTATAATAATTTGGAGTTTTTAAATATATCTATTTCAGAAAAGTATATTTTTCAAATCATTTTTTGAAAACTAAGAAACATGGCACTAAAAAACTATTTAAAAATATTTTGTAAACAATGCAGAAAGAGAGGAGTATAAACAAAAGGCAAGAAATTTTTTTAAAAGTATTATAAAACATTATTAAAAGCTACAAAGGAAAGCTGAAGCAAACGTGTAGAACTATGACAATATCTCTAGGTGTATAAAGAAACAAATAAAGCAGGAATATTTGCTTTAAAATTAAGTCAGCCATTAAAGTTCTTATTGAAATATGAATTACCTTGATTAATTCTCAGATTATTTTATGAAAACATACATACTATTTTGTAGTTGCAGTTAGTTTATATTATTATGATATAATTCTAATTTTTAAAATTTTTAGCTACGGAGAGCAAGAGAAAAATTGGGTCAACCCTGTGAAATGTGTTGTAATTATGAACTGCAGTTACAACAAGTTCAACGAACAGAAGTAGAACAAAGGACTAAAGCTGCTTCTATGGAACAAACTCTTGAGGATTATAAGAAAGATTTACGCAGGGAGCAAGAGTACAGACAAGAAATGGAAGAGAAATTTAATGAAATTTCTAAAGATTGTGAAAAAAAGGTAATTTTTCTGCTTTTTTACCTTTAATAATTATGAAAAATATATTCTATTCTTATTAATATCATTTAATTTGAAGATTTGCACTTATTATGCATTGAAGGTTATTACTATTTAGAATTTTAAAATTTCTGCAAGTAGTTCAAAGTAAATTTTTTTATTCTTCATTGGAGGATGTGCCAGGAAATGACTTTATGAATATTTTTTATCAATATTTTATATTTAAACTGTGTTTAACTTGCATAATTCAGTTTCTGATGTGTATTTTTTAAAACAGTTTTTTACAGAAATATGTGATAAATAAGTATGGAATAAATATTTAATTAAAAATTAGTAATAAATGAACTCAAACATTAATTGTAAATTTTAAGCTTATTTTTTTCACATGTTAAAATATTTGAATTGTCTCATGCCTGCATTATTATTATTATTGTTTTCTAATAAAATACATGGCATTGTATCTTTTATTTAAATTAATGTCATAAAATAATCAATATTGAAACTAAAATATTAGTTTGGTAGGTAAAGTAGGTTTATAACTATATCTAATTTTAGGTTAGTCAGCTCTTCAAAATGCGTGAAGAATTTGAGCATGCCTTTAATGAAATCAAGAACAACTACAATATTTGTCGTAATGAATTAAGTGAATATCAGGTGAGACAATTATCCTATTTTTAAATTTAAGTAGCTTTCTTTTCCCCTAATATGTTTATATAATCATCATCATCAACCAAGGGTCTTCTATTGAAATTTTTGGAAGAGATGAGCCTTTTGTAGAATTAGTGGCTTCGTAATACATCTCAGTAGTCTTGCAGGCTATGTATAATCACATTACGTATTAACATACACTGGTTATCATAAATTAAGGAAAAATCACAAAAATAGCGATAACTCCTTCAAAAATAAGCCAAACCGTGTAAAATTTGAATATTTTGTTAAGTAAGAGTAGCTGAGTAAAACTCCAATATGCAAATTAGTGGCACTGCACTCATCTGCAAGGAGCATAAAAGTCCATGTTTGAGAGCAAGCCCACATATTTCACTGTGATAGTGACATCAGAAATCTGAGATAACCAATTCGTAACAATGATCTCCAGGCATCATTTGCCTGCAGAACTACGACAGAAAGCTATTGGGAGACTAGAGGCAGGGCAAAGTCAAACAGAAGTGGCCAGACGGCTAAATGTGAGTCCTTCTGTGGTTCATGGAGTCTTCTGTGGTTCATGTTGATCTTTGGAGGCAATTTCAAATCACAGATTTGGCACCTAGGAGGTTCAGCCAAGGATGGCCAACAGCTACGATGATCGCCGATGACCGATATTTGACATCATGTGCACTCAAGAATAGAATCCACTACTACGACTCTTCTTAGATCCTCCCTTGCTGCAGGTACCGGGAGGTTGGTGTCAGCGTTCAACTTGTGCGTAGAAGGCTTCACAAAGGTCGTTCTGTATGTGAGGCGAACAACCATTTGTGTGCTGCACCATAAGAGTCACACCATAAGAGTGACCGTTTGCAGTGGGTGCGACAACATGTCCACTGGACGCCTGAGCAATGGAGGGCTATTCTCTTTATGTATGAGTTCAGGTTTAGTCTAGAACGTAATAGTTGGCATTATTTGATATGGAGAGAACCTGGAATCCGTTATCATCCATCAAACATCCGTGAAAGAGGTGCATACGGAAGAAGATATGTCTGTGTTTGGGGTGGCATCTATTTGGGTGATCGCACAGACCTACATGTTTTTCCAAGGGGAACCGTGAATGCTCATGTTTATAGAGATGACATCCTTGATGCTTATGTGCACCCATATGCCGGGGCAATAGGTGATGCTTTCCTGTTACAGGAAGACAATGCAAGACCACACAGGGCTCACATCGTATATGATTATCTTCAACAGGAAACAATTATGCGCATAGAGTGGCCAGCTCGATCCCTAGACTTGAATCCTATCGAGCACATTTGGGATGCTTTAGGGAGATGTTTAGCTTTTCTCAATCTGCTCCCTTAGAACCTTGATCTGTGTACATATTATTCAACTTGGAATTGCCGCCAGAGCGGACAACACAACGGCCTATGAGGAACATTACTGCCGCGCTTGCAACTGCTTTGCAAGACCAATGGCTCTTGCTTCTTATGGAACTGATAGACCACATAATTGAAAGCATCACTAATCACTGAATGCGCTGTATTCCTTCTAGAGGCGATTAAATTCCATATTGAAGGTACTTTTACTATAGCAAATTGACATCTTCGATTTGTTCATTTTATACATGTGCTAATTTCTATACTACCATAATTGTCTGATAATTTCTTTTTATGTTATTTGATACCTTACTATGTGTTGTATATTGTGGGTAAGTTTCATAATATTCTACATGTAACGTTTTCAGTAATCATGATTTTTGTGATTTTTCCTTAATTTATGGTAACCAGTGTAATAGCATTTTTTGGTATTACAAATGCTATTGAATGCAGTGTCTGTTACAGTCTTATAAAAACAATAGTAACCAAAAATCAAAATTATTAAATGTTTTCATTATATTTTGAAAAATTTTCTATAACTGTTTCTTCTAATGTTAGTGATTTCAAAATCTTAGAAAAGTGTAATGATATGTGTTATATATATATACACGCACGCACACACATTTAAATGCATAATTGCAAAATTAAAACCGTTCCAAAACCTAACAGTTGTGTGTTGATAGCAGCAGCAAGTGATTGTGGTGGTAATGCAAAATAAAATAATTAAAAACATGTATTTAAAAGTCATCCCATATGCAGTTTAGAATAATCCACATGCAAAATCCAAAAAACAATAGTATAGTGGCAGACTACAAGAAATAAGAAGGCAAAATATGCTAAAACCGAAAGTGAAAATGAAATTCACATGTTTTAAAGTAAACTGTTTCTTTATCAGCCCAACTCTTACAGACCAAAGTAAGCAATGCCAAAAATACAAAATTATTGCTATCAGAAACATAGACAAATTAAAAAAATTGCAAAATAATAGACAGATGAATTTTTTTTTTAGTAGATCAAGTCTAAAAGCACATTTTTTAATCCAAAACTTCTAAGATTATTCTTAAATTTAAAACTTTAATTTGTGTAGTTTTTAAGTTCAGAAACAGGCTGTTTGGTTTATTTCTCTTGGTGCGCCAATGCCCTGATGGCAATGAAGTGAGTGAAAGATGCAACTTTCATTTTCATTTTTGGTTTTGTCATATTTTACTCCTGCCCCCATTTTATGCGGTTTACCACTGGGCTTCTGTATTTTGGATTTTGCATGGGGTTTATTCTGAATTGAATATGGGGTGAATTTTAAAGGTCTTTATTTTATTTTACATTTTATACGAGGGTTGTAAATTAAATAGTGGCAACTTAACCAACCTTGAAACTCGCAGAAGGGCGGGCATGCGCAAATAGGATATGGGAGTGGTGAGGTGGCGCTGTTGTCGATGTGTTAAGTGCAAAAAATAGTTGATCTGCTTAGAAAGGTAGATGTTGTGTGGCATTAAAGTAAGGAGTTTCGTTTCCATCGCTCTAAAGCATGTTTTCAAAAGGTGATCAGCGGTTGTAGCTTAAAATCGAGGTTGCCCACGGCAAAAATGCAACAGAATTCTATTGAGGATTAGTGGAAACCTGTGGCACAAATGCTTTACCGTATAGGACACTAGCACAATGGGTTCAAGCATTTCGTTCGAGTCGGAATGAGACTGCAGATTTGCAAAGCACAGGTCGGCCCTCCATTCCTCAAGAGCAGATTGACTTTCTGAGCGGTCTCCTTATCATAGACTGCCGTTGGACACAGATGTAACAGAAGTTTAAAATTAAAAAATTAGGAGAAAAAAGAATATATCATCCTGGAAAAGATTTTTTAAAAAGGAATCTATAAAGAAAAACCTAAGGAACTATTAAATTTTAGAACATGAAAATGCAACTCTAAGGCCAAAACATATTGAAAATTTTTAGAAGTATTTATAAACTTAAATCTCATATTTTAACACTTCAAATCGACTCACCAAGGGTAATATTTTAAAGCTTTGAAATCCATTTAATTAAGGAGTACTGAAGTCCTGTTTTATTTCACTTGCTCCTTTGGGCATAAATATTATATATATATATTATTTTTAGATTTAAATTTTAGATTTTTAGATTATTTTTAGATTTAAAATATAGCTTTTATTACATACATATATGTAATAAAAGCTAAATTTTGGAAGCACTGATGTATGTACACTGAGACGTAGAAACGCAGAAATACTGATGGCGTAGATACTTGATGCTTAGAGTGTTGACCCATATTGAAGAGGATATATGTGTATGCAAAATTATTGGTTTTATTTACTTCTAAAATTATAATTTTGTATTGCCTAATGCTGTTTTTCATTTTATGAATTGTTATATATATATATTATATTTATAAATTTCCTTTTGTTAATGCAGACTACTATTACAAGTGAAAGGGATTCTTTAAAGCGTGAGGTAAGTAATATGTAATTATGAGTTTAAGAATTTATATATGAGATTAAAAATGAATCAGCATGTTAAATGCCATGTTGGTTGTTCACAGATGTTAATAAACTTTCCTTTCCATGTTTGTCATTGGTGACAGATGATTTAAAGGGGAAAGTTAGTAATTTAATACTGAGTATTTTAATTTAAATATCTTCATATTTGAAAAGAACATGGAGAACTTTACAAATACAGTCTGACCTCTTTAAGGGATCATACGAATAACACCTTATTAATTTATTATTTCATTTCCTTAAATCCCTAAATATCTTAATTATTTATCTATATAGTTTACTGCAATTTTTTTGCCATTATTATATTGCAAATTTTGATCATTACATCTCTTTTAACTTGTGCTTTTGGTATACTATTTTCTGTTATATCAAAATTATTAGTAAAAGAAAATTTCCAAAACTTATTAAAAGACTTTTTACAATGTTAAAACTTGAGTTTTGTTCAGGTTTTGGCATTGCAAGATCATTCTTTATTTGCGTGCAGCATCCTGTACAACTCTGTACTTTTTCACCTGACAGATTTCAAAAAGATTTCTTGTATTGTGAAAGTCTGAATTTTATTCACATCTAATATTGCAAGATTATTTTTTTCTTACCTTGAGCATCTTATACAATCTATACAGTTTCATACTATCTTTGTCAACATCTAGTAACAACTATAGTAAGTATATATGAGACAACCAGAATATTTTTTGCTCAGAGTTTCATGTAATGCTGTGAGGTCAAGAAAATTGGGAAGCTCTAGGGATTTGAATTTTAAAAAAATGAACTTTAGTTTCTTTTCTCAAAATATTACTTTTTTTAAAAAATTCATTAATATTGGGGAATTGACCAATAGCTGAGTAGAAAAAGACTTCTGGTTTCTGGTAGTTTGATTCGGATTCATCTTCTGGTTAAGGGATGTTTTGTATGGTTTTCTCTGTGCGTAATGTAAATACAATTCAGTTTCTCTTGAAAAATGAATGTTTAAAATGAAATATTATTAATCAGATAATTTTAGAAATATATTGTGATATTTCAATAAAAGGAAGAAGGAATTTTTTTTTTTTTTTAGCTCAAAAGGGCTCTTAGTCTTGAACCACAATCTTGCATTATTCACTTAAAATGTAGTCCTCTATAAATACATTATTTTGCTTTTCATTCAAGTCTGTTGTCATTCAGCAAAACAAAAGATATTCATCATTCAAATTTAATCTAACTGGTATTGAGTAACAAATTAAACTATTTAGCACTTTGTGGTCTGGGCACACCTAAAATTTTCCTTCTGTACGCACAGAAAAATTGAATGAAAAAGGATTTATAGTTACTCTGAACCTTCTTTATTTAAAGTAGATGTCAGCTCAACACAAACCAGTCAATATATTTTAGCCAGTTTAGTGTTTTAAAACCCTCATTTTTCAAAGAATTCTTCCAGATTTTTTTTTTTATGGTATAAAAGGAATTGTTTGAAAAGAAAATCTATGTTATTTTCTTGGCTGTATGCTAATCTCCTTATTCTATATTAGTTTTAAATTTTTACCTTGAAATCTTGCCTAAAATCGAACGGCAAACCCCTGGTGTTCTCAGGCCGGGCTCACCGACAATCTAGGACAACTGAAAGACTGTATTCTTTGTTTCTCCGCATCTCATCAGTCAGTTCATTGACAATAGAAAAGTGGGTACACATCTGTGTCTCATTTCCTGTTTTTCTCTTTCTTCTTTTCTCTCTCTTTTTTTTTTTTTTTTTCGGTGGGGAGGGGACGTTTGGTTATTAACTAACAAATTGTTGGGATGATTTTTTGAAGGTCAAGGGTAATTTTATCAGTTAGCTGTTTGGTTTTTCAATAGTTTATTTAATTTTATTTATTAATAAAGAAATTGAAAACTTACAATTTAAAAGATTCATCTAATATGTCATAATGCATCATACACTGAGCTGGCCCTAGGCATTCTTCCACATGATGTAATCTCTGTGAATCCTAAATTTTGTTACCTAGTGTCTTTCTAAATTCTGCTTCCAATGCCTGCTCTAAATTCTAAAAGTTTTGCCGTTTCTAGATTTTGTTGTTCGGTGTGTCACTAAATTCTAAAAATTCTGCCACACCAGCTCTGGAACTGGCCTTTACCATATATATTTCATATTTCTTCTGAATGTTCATATTACTAAAGAAATAAAATTAGCCACTTTTTCTATACATTCTAAATGCATTTATTTTTTTTTAGAATAACAGAAATCCTTAATTAAATCCAAAAATTCTAAAATGAAAAGGAAATGTGCTGAAGGAAGAAACTGAATATATGAAGAAAATTATTCTTCAAAGATATGTGCAGTTATTATTATGTAAATTACCCAATGGTTTATGATTTCAGCCTTTACTATAATTTCCCATTTCTATACTCAAGTAGCATAGCAACATTGTAATGACGTTGCAAACTCGTCGCGGATGTTGTTGCAAATACGTTGCAATGTGTCATCTTTAAGACGTCCAGATGTCTGCAAACATCCACTGTTTTGCAACCTTTGCAAAGACATCTTTATTACGTCTTTGCAGATGAGGTTTTTGTCACATAGACGTTGTTATTGCATCTTTCGCAGGTGATATTTTGGTTGTGAAAGCATCATATCACAATGTCTTAATAATATTTTGGTTGTGAAAGCATCATATCACAATGTCTTTGCAAAGACATCTTTATTAAGCAATTAAAAGTGCAATAATTATGAATTGCAGTATTTACTAGTAATACTGATGTTTCTTAATACCATTTCTTTCAATCATATGTTAATGTATTTACTTACTTTTAGTTTCTACATTTTAGAATAGTGATAGATTACAATGATTATTTCAGACAATTTTTATAATTAATAACTTTCCTTTTGTTACTGTACAGAAATAATTTAAATAACATAGTATACGATAGTAAGCTAAGTACGTTAAATAGCACACAATGAAACTTTTTGTTTCTATTTATTATGAATTTCTTTGTTATCACAAGCACATAAAAAGTAAATGAAGAAAGTAGAATATACTTAAATTTAATAAAAAAATAAAACCTAATTATCAACATTCATTTATTGAGATAAACTAATAAACATACATAACGGCAATATTTAAAGAAGCGCAAATTACAGTGTTTGGAAGGATAGATATCAAACGAAAAGTAATAAAACTACGATTTGCAATCAATAAAAAATATTTAGTGTTTTTCAATATTACACAATTAAATATCACATAATTATAGATTACAATATTTTATAGAAATGCTAATGTTTCTTTAACACTATTTTTTCAATGATGCATTTCATACACTGTTTAAAATCATTAACCTTTTCTGCATACTATACAAAAGACAACATAGTATAGAATGTGCATTATTATTAATTTTAATGTACTGCTTCTTGCTGTTTACATATATCTAATTCATCTTCAGCAGTCATATTAAGTACTGGTACCAGTCCAATAATTTCTTTGTATTTTGAAAATAATGAACATACCATAACAGCTTGAATTGTTGTTGCTTCTGCACTGATTGCATTTGCAGCAAAACCAGAAAGTGCCTTATCATTGTATGTTATTTTTGGTTTTATATGAATTAATTCTGAGAACAAACCTTTCAATATAAACACAATAATCCATTAATATGCATGATATATGATATAGCACTTAGGACGTTATAACCGAGGCGCAAATGACAATATAAGTTTTTGATCACTCGCAACACATAAAACACCAAAACAGAACACAATTTCACGAACACTATATTCACGATTAGCATTGTAGCTCGTTGCACTCAAAATTTTTTAAGTTGATGTATCCAAAATTTTATCACCTGCAACACATAAAACACCAAAACAGAACACAATTTCACGAACACTATATTTATGATTAGCATTGTAACTCGTTGCATTCAATATTTTTAAAATAATGTAGCCAAAATTTTGGTGTCTTCTTGTAGAGCACATATTCACAAACAAAATAGGCAAAAATTCCACATTCTCATGATGATTTTTCCTCGATTCAGAGGCTTCCAAACAGGAGCTCACAACAATGCAAATTCACTTGCTGAAGACAGTTGAAGTAAGTAGATAGAGACAGAACAATGAGAAGATTCACCGTGCATTCTTTGATTGACAGTGATACTGATACAGTACAAAGTCCCTAATCCGGACTTGTTGGGACTTTGGCGATTCCGGATTAGTGGCTTTTCTGGATTTTAGATAATCAATTTAAATTTGGTAAGATGGCATGCAGAAATTTTATGATTAAAAATATGAAACCATAATTTATGAAATAAAAAGCAATTATGATCTAAATTGTATCAAAATTTACAAAAAAAAAAAAAAAAAAAGCTTAATATTTATTTGTTTACTTTATTAAACATTTCTTTCAATGTAAGCTGTGTAAGTTGCTTCGTATTTTGTGCTAATACTTTCTCTGTAATTCTCTCTTCTATAAACAGACATAATTTCTTGTTCAGTTACAAAGTTCCACTGTTCAAATCCTGTAATTGCTGTGTTGAGAACATTGACTAACTTGTCAATCTAAATTTTTTCGTTTTCAATCACCTCTCTGTCATATTCTTCAGTATTGGAAGCACACATGTGTAAACGCTTTACGGCTTTATGCACATGCATAGCGGACGCATGCATCAAACGCGCATGTGTCTCATCAAACACGTTAAGCAAATGCGTAAGTTTGTGGCTTTGAGGTCCGGATTATAGATCATTCCCGATAATGGACGTCCAGATGTAATGGATGTCTTTGTACTGCATTTACTTTTAATATAAGCAATATTATTTATATCAGTCATTGCTTGATTCAATTTCACACATGAAGTCAGTCTTTTCAAATGCCTTACAGATTGCACTTTTACCAAATTACTTGAAAGAACTGCTGGAATCTTTCCATTCCATTTTACCACTGTTCGCCACTCAGCTAGAAAGTCTAGCTTTCAAGTAATTGCACAGTTAAATTCTTCGAACTTGAACTTCGAATTTTTGGCAGCTAGCCAAAGCACGCAAAACCTCGAGATGTTCGTTTATTAAGCATCCAGTAAAGTAAATAATGTCCATGGAATGTCATTGGTTGAAGAGCAATGTACAGTTTCTCTAATTTTGATGCCAACATTTATTAGTAATTTATCAAATCCATTAGTTTTGTTGTTTCCCATGAAAAGTTTTAATATTTCTTTCTCTTTTTCCATTAATTTTTCCATTCTGTCTCCATATTAATTCAAATAAATTCGTCCTTACTTCAAAATTAATAAGTAAAGTCATATTTCAGTAGTGAAGTAATTGCTAACATGTGATTTGCATTGATTTCGGAAATATGATTTTGTAAAATATATAAAATTCATTACTTAATAGCTTACTTTATAGATCAGTTTCATTTTTAAATATTTTGCTATAATATTGATAAAATATTTTAAGTATTAATTATTTTAACAAAATTTTAAACAATAATTTAACATGTATTTTTAGTACTAATTAAATTTAATAATTCAAAATTATCTGTATTAAATTTATATTTCATTAGATGAATCTACCTTAGATTAATATATTTAGATGAAATAAAGTAATGAAACATTGCAAAGTAAATCTTATGCGAACTTCAGATTCTTGAAAGGGCAGATTTCGTCTCTTTTCATTCTAAAAATAACGCTGATGGATTTATGAGAAAATTGCTAAAACGACTCCATCTAAAAGCAGTCATATCATGACGTTTCAGCAACGTCGTCAAATTGCCAAGATGCAACAGCAAATATTTTGCTTCGTCGCAGCATTGTAAGTCCTTGCAACATCATGTGCTACTTGGCTATCCTCATATGATAGAGTTACTGAGCCAGATTAAATTAAAATTAAATTGTATAATCTTTGACCACTAGTTTATATTTTTAGTTCGAATTTGACTGATTTAGTTTACTTATGTCACCATGAGCTGTAATTGATTTTGTTCGCATCAGACCATGCCTTTATGTTTTAAGTTCTTTTTAAATAAGAGGTATATTTAAACCTTTGTCTGAAATAAAATTATTACTATGTCTGTAGTTACTTTCAGACATAGTAATAATTTGCTTCACATCTGTCAGGGGTTTTGGACTATCTAACTTTTACCAGATCAGGATAGGTTGACAAGTTAGGAGATCATGCAGAAACTAGTGAGAACATAGTTTTGCATATTGAGACAAATTTCTAATTGTTAGAAACAATGCTTAAAGAGAAGGAAATTGATATAAATCAGCCACAATGTCTGGGATGGTTTCAAATTAGACACATAAATATTTGAGTGTTGTTGCTACAAAACATAAATGTTTTGCATCTTTTAGTGTGTAATTATCCTAATATCATTTAAGAATCAATGTCATAAATTACATGTATTTTAGACTGTGAAATTTTATTAGATTGTGATTTGAATGGGGCTTTTTTAACAATATTGTTAAAAAATAAAATTTAATAGTGGCCATGTAAATCCATCTTGTTATCTAGCTGCCTAATTTAATTATTTATAACTAACTGCTTATTCTTAAAAATTGCCTCTACATATTAAAGCAAATTATTGCCTTTCATTAATACCCTCTGTGGTCAGAAGATAAAACACAAAAATGTAAAAATTCAAGTAAAACTTATTCTTTGTATCTAGTGAGACTTACAATAATACAAAACAACTTATCACCTCTGTTGCTTTAATGGGTTATTGGAACCTTAAAGTATAATAACTGGGTTACAACCTCTGGAACTCTGCACGAAGCAACAACACTAACTGCATCAAACAGAGCCTGATTAATTGCCAACCGTGCCTACATCAGGTTTCAAGTTAGTTCTAATTAGCAGGTCTCTCTCTAGACAAGCAGCAGCGGTGACAACATTCAATCTTTTGTTATGAATTATGCTAACTATGATCTCACTTGTCATTTTAACGTATGCCGTTTGACTTAAAAATCTACCTGCTACATACTAAACCTTTAGACTGACCAAGTATGTGACAAAATGAGATATAAAAAAATCAACATAAAGCTAACTGTTAGTAAAACGTAAATGTCGCTTATCTTCTTTCAAATATGTACAACTATTATAAGTGTAAAATATTAAATGCTACTTGATAAATTGCATAAAGTTTATCTTATTCTCAAACTTATTAATCATTATGTTAATTCATGTTTAGTAATAATGCATACTACTTAGGGATCTATTTTATTTTTAGGATGGTATTACAAAAGTGAAATTATTTTGTTTTAACAATATACTGTGTAATGCTTGAAGTGTAATGATTGAAAGGTATTCTTTTTAACTGATTAGAAATTTTGATAATGTGCTTGAAATTTCAGTCACTAGTATGTCATCAACTTACAGTATGATCAAATTATGTTTTTCCCTCTCTAGCTTGAAAGACTGCAGAAAGAAAATGATGTATTGCTCGGAAAACATATTGCTAAAGCACAACAGATGAGGAATGAAGATATAAATTTGCCCAACTCTGTAGAAGTAAATTGTCTTATTAGTTTTAATAATTAATATCTTCATCTTAATTTTTTCTGTCCATCAAATAGATATCTTAAATGCTTTTATGCAGGCTGAAATCATGTGCTTTATATATCCATTCCTTGCTAATGTTATCCATATTATTTTTTAATGAGATTATTTATGAAGTAATATTCAGGTCAGTCCATTTAACATTTTGTTTTTAATTATGCTTTGTAAATTTGAAGGATTTGCTAATAATATAGTGTATTTGAAGTGTCTTTTATTTATAATTCTGTTTAGCTTACCTGTTCATTTAGTAACTCTTGAAAAAGTTCCTTAGCCCTAAGTGGTATTCTACTTTAATGATAAATGAATTGGACTAAGAAATAGCAGCTATGTATGAAATGACGTACAGTGTTCAAGCATTCTTTTTCCTAGTTTGTGATATTTATGTTGAGCTGCATTTTATCATACAGGAGTTGCAATTCTACTGCTTACAAAAGCAAGAAGAGCTTATTACTATAAAGGCAGCTAAAGAAAACATGGAGGAAGCTCTTAAAGGAGATATCCAGATGCTCAAAAATCAACTCATGTCTGAACAGACTGCAAAAGAAAGATTAGAGGATACTTTTAGTCAAGAATTGGATAGTTTAAGGGAGCAATTAGGTAAGAATAAGTTATCTTAGTATAATTATTAAAATTTAATGATGCATTTGATGATTCTTAATTTTATTATGGATTTCCAAGCTCTGATAAAAATTGAATCTCTTTTCTTAAAGTTTATTATATGAGTTACTGATAACATTTTATCTTACTTGTTTTAAAGTTCTGTTTTGATATAACTGATACTATTTTTACTGTCTTGAAGAAGTTTAATTATATTGAAAATTTGCATATTGTCATAATTGTTACAGGGTACAAAATTAAAAGGAAATAATAGTAAAAAATAATGAAATAGAACATTTGTTGAATGAAATAAATTTATACCTTGAATATTTCTTTTAAATAATTAAAATGAGAAAGTTTTAATTCAATACTATATGGATATGTATAACAAAATTGTACTTTAGCAGGATGTTGTAAATTAATGTAAATATTAGCTTTTGTTACATGTAGATGTCTTTACAATTGATTTGTATTATTTTTGGTTATTTTAAAAATGTGTGTTGATACATGTAATAATTTTATTTTGTAGTAAGTTATGAAGTACATGTAACTTTAGAAACTTGCAAGTAACTCTAATGGAATTAAATATATAATTTGTTAAACATTTGTAAGGTATTAACTGAAAAATATATTACCAAACTGATGGTATTTACTGGATTTTGGAAGATTGGAGAAGTAGTAAGGAACAAATTTTGGAGATCCCCTACAATTCTTCTGCCCTTTACAGGAAAACAATAAAACAATTGTTGACAAGAGTTGATGAGTTCAGATCAGCATTCATTCTGATTCATGTTTAGTTTTGTGAAAAGGCTTGTGGTTTTAGTTTCATATTCATATGTATCTTTGAATGTGAATTTTGGACTGCTTGTGTGTTCATAACGATTATTATTTTTGAAGATGAATGTGCAATATTTGATTTTGTGTAGTGCAAAAGACTTCAACTGTATTGAGTGAAAATTTGAAACTGAAGATAAAATTTTATTTCCATTCATCTGTTTGGGAGGTCAAACATGGAATACAAAAATGCAGCTACTTATAAATGAAAATTAGATGTTTTTGAATGCCTATTGCTGGAAATTTGAAAATTTGCTTGAATTTAATAATATTTATATGACTACAGTTAGTCTAGGAGGCAACAGCTATAAATGCCATCAAAGTGAAAACTTTTAGGTGCTGCTGATATGAAGAAATTGCCACAGCTGTTGGCCATGAAAGAATAATTTGAAGCAGCTAGTTTGTATATCACACTAGCCAAAAAACATAAAATTATGACTACTCAAATTTTTATTCAAAACTCAACACTTATGGGAGAACTTAACATAGTTGTATGGGTTGAGAGCTGCTATTCAGAGGCATGATCTAGATTGCCTGAATTCTACAGAGCAAGTAAGAAGGTGGACTGGTGACAGTTTGGACCACATTATTGAGGCAGTCAGTAGAAATAGTGATTGTGCTTCATAGTCACATCATTGTCAAGGTCTATTTAATGGATCAAATTCATCTAATTATTCAAATTTTGTATCCTGATGGAGTGCCATGTATTAGATTCTCAGCACACCGTTTCACATTACAAAACTGGTGACAGTTTGAACATGAAAATGAGCTTGAAGACCTTCCACATGCTTCACAGTTTCCTGATCTCAACACCATTCACCTTATTTGTGATACATTAGAGCAGTGGTCTCAAACTGGTGGCCCCGGAGCAATTTTATGTGGCTCGTAAAGCCATTTCAATTATGAATTTGTTATAAGTAATGTTACAGAAATTTCAAGATTGTAATTATTTAAATCTGAGTTTAAATTTTTTTCACTAGGTAAAAATTTATGTTAATAACACATCAGAACATCTGTAAATGAAGACAACTAATTTACAGTGCAATATAAATATTATTCAATGATTTGAAGGCATAGACTTTATTAACTTTCATTCATACTTGTCAAAAAATAAATCAGTTATGAAATTTCCAGTACGAATAACCACTTTGTTGAGGAATGCATTTATGTGTGAATTCCCCCCCCCCAAACCATTGAAACTTAATAACACAAAACACCCGACTGGTCAGTAAGCATCTACAATCCATGATGAAAATAGTTACTAGTAATTTCTCTCTAAGGCTGCAAACTTTATCAGAATCGAAATGCTATTAGGTGTCAAATTGTAGTAAGAAATGAAAGGAATTCACAATTATTTACATACTAACATGTATATTTTTATTTATGCTTTCAAGAAAAATTTAATAGAGAAGAGAAAGAGATTAAGTTGTATCACATATATGGTATTTTGCATATGCTAACGTGTAGAGAGTTGTTTGGATCATTGTTAAAAAAAAAAAATCCTTATAATGTCCTTGTTTATATGCTGAAGTTACATGTAGGTAAGAATGCTTTCACGATAATACATTTTCAGTAATCATGAAGTATGCGATCTACTGCTGTTAGTTAGTTATTTATTGTTTAGATTGCAGCAGTAGAATTGGTTGTTGTTTTAATAATTTTTTTCCTGTCATTTTACGTCATTTGAATTTAAAAATAGTGGTTCATTGCCACCATCTAATATGTAAATAAGTAACTGAAAGCAGTAGATAGCATACTAAAGGATTGCCACTTTTTCTTTATTGTTATAGAACATCTATAAGAAATGTAATGCATTTGGGAAATAATTTTAACTTTTGGGAAATAATATTTAGGAGGCTTTGTTATATAGAAGTGATGTTTAGAAAACTCAGTTGGCTGAGTATTGCAGTTCTTGATCCAGATGTAGTGGGATTCACAGTGCATGTAAAATATTCTCTGTCACCATTTGAAAGCTGACAGTATGGAAAATTTCAAACAGCAATTTATTCTCTCAAAACCTTATTTTGGAAATATGGCCTGAATGAATTGGCTGTGATTTTATTGTAATGAAAACACCTCAGAAAGTAAATGAACACTTCTGCTGCCTCAGTGCCAAAGCAAATGTAGAGAAGTGTTGCGAATCATGTGAGGTATGTGCCCTAATTCTTTTATGAAATTAAATTTTTGATACAGAATGTTTTCTCTACCTGGATTATCGCATGCATTTAGAGGGTTTTGCAGACAATTTCCTTAAAGAAATATTAATATAATAAGAGAAAAATGAAGATCATGGTGCAACGTCAAATTTATGGATAGATGGAAAAGAAGTTATGTTTATATGCCCTTGCTGCAAATGTCTTGAGAAGCATCAAGTGATCAAGGGATAGAATGATATCATAATTGGTTTCTAAAGAACTCTGTATTCTAAACCCTAAATAATGAATAATGATTGCATTAATGTAGTACTGATTCTTATCATAATAATAAATAATAGCTGGACCATGAACTTAGGGATTGTACTACCAGGGAAATATTGTTCCTTAGAAAGGGCTTATGTTGCAAATTAACATAAATATTTATTTATTTCATGGAGGTAAGAATGAAAGGAGGAGCCAACCCCGCACTACGAGTGAAGCACTTCTCCTGAACTTTAGTCTCCAGATAGGGTGTTTTTTGTTTAAACCCAGAAGCTTCTTTTACAGATTTGATAGTATTTTGACACACGATAGTTCCATACAAATCGAAAACTAGGACACTTCCGCATAAAAGAAACATTCATTCTGTGATGGATTACGATCTGATAATTAATGTTTAAATGTGAAAGGGACAGTTATTATATTATCAGAGAATTATTAAACTGGGTAAAATCGCTAAAAAAAGTTTTGAGTGCTCTGCCAAAATATATTTAGTAGAAGATTTGACTTTGATAATGAATGTATCCTAAAACGTATTCAAAAGTTTGAAACTTTATGGTTAAATATAAATATAAAATTATGCATGTTAAAATATTTGTAATTAGGCACATAGGTCAGGTTAAGATTTTATTAAATAGAGGAAGGCATGCAAGGGCTATCTCCCTAAATAGATAAATTCCATTGTGGAGGAATTTCAAAGAAAAACTGACCTTTGAGTGGGTATTAAAAATAATGCATGCATTAGAATATGTATTGTTGAAATTAAGGGTAAAAAAAATATGATAAGTATTAAAAGAATTACCGTATTTTTCGCCGTATAAGACGCACTTTTTCTCCCCAAAATCGGAGGAAAAAGTGGCTGCGTTTTATACGGCAAAAACAAAAGCCCACCATGGCCCTCCGCTGCCCCTCCACCTCTGCATACATACCTTACCGCAGGAATACTCGGCCACTCCGTTCCCTTTCACCTCTTGGCGCCGTCTGAGACCAGGAAGCCCCGCTCTGCCTCGCACTGCAATTGGCTGAGCGAAGAGGCGCGTGCCTTCGCTCGCTCCTGCGCTGGCTTTGTGCACTTTTTAGAGTCTCGAAAGCCAGCGCGGGAGCGGGTGAAGGCACACGTCTCTTCGCTCAGCCAATCGCAGTGCGGGAGCAAGCGGAGGCACTGATAGCTGTGAGCTGTGATATATGTAGTATGGTACCACCCCATCAAGATGTCGAAGCAGAAGAGACTGCCATATAAAGTTGCTTTCAAGCTGGAAGTAATAAAATTTGCTAAGGTGCATGTTACTTTCACTGTTTGCTGACTGTTTATGAGAGTAAAGATAGCTCTTAGTATGTTACATGGTTGACATAAAATTTTTCTTAAACTGCTGTTAACTTTATACAGTTGATATAAAATATTTTACTACAGAATTTGGTTCATAATCTTTTTTTTTCTAGATTTGCCTCCTTTAAAATTGGGTGCGTCTTATATGCCGGTGCGTCTTATACGGCGAAAAATACGGTATTCCCTTATATTTTATAATAACTCAAATACAAGTTTTAAATAATATTAAAAAGAATCCTTTTTTTATTCCCTTTCAGAAATATTCAGAGAAAGTTAAGTACATGGTAATCAGCACCAATATTTAACATATTTAACTATTAAAATGAAAGGTTGAAATGGACCGAATAGAGCATTAATTACAAATTGACTCAGATTTTCAATTCAAAAGGTGCCTCAGAAGCTAAAAAATCATGTCATATTTGAGAAACTATTTTTAGAAAGCTCTGTAAATAGAAAAGAAATAATGTGTAATTTTAATATTAATAATACAATAAACTTTTATTTTAATTTTTGTAATCCTTTAACCGAATAAAATCGAATTCCTTTAAAATTTTTTTTCTTATGCAATTAACGAAAACTTGTGAAAATATTTCATTCAAATTAAACTGTTCTGAGCAAATTGTTCTGTGAAATGTAGCATTTAATTCGATTCAGAATAAAATGTTGTTTAAAAATGTATTCTTTTCACATACTTAGGACTCTGAAAGTAGTCTTGTAGAAAAAGAAAATATGTACATTTATATGTAAATTTGTGATGTAATTACAAAATGTTTTACATCCGATCATGTCAAAACCCATTGATCTTAATGGTAAGTCACTGAATGTTTTAGTCTCCACAAAAGGATCGCCAGTGCTTCAAAGCAGTGTATGGGGAAGATCGGTTAGGGCCTCTCCTCTTACTTCCTACCTCCATGATTTATTTATATTCTATACATATTTGTTTTTGCATCTATTTCTTTTGAATTTTATATTTATTTATTTGAAATTGTCTCTTAAGCCATTCATAGTTATCAGATCCAGAATTTAAATAAAGTATTATTTAAATTCTTTAAAGAGTGAAGTTTTGAAGTGTTTTTATGGATATGGATGTGCATTAGGCATTGTCACTGCATTTTGTAGTTAAAATTGGTAAACTTAATCAGTCCTGTAATATGCAAACTTCAATGTCTCTAAAGGCTTATGCAGTGGCTGCTTTAGCAAGGAAGTACCTTTGTATTTTATCACTAAGTAGTTTACATTGTTATAATAATTTAATTAATTTTGTGTCATGTTTATAAATTACTTAGATTGATTTGTTTGCTGTGTATTCTGATGTAAAAGGTGTTCTTGCGTTAGAAAAAATTTTAGCTCTTAGTTGTCAAATGTAATCTTAGTTCTTAAAGAGTGACACCTCATCTTGAAGATTCTTTTCATTATTTTGTCTGCAGTGCCCGTCTTTCATTCAGTTGTAGGTGAATAGAGCAAAGCAAGGACATAGTGGAAATCACTTCTCTTTTAATTAATATATATGTCAATTCCTATTATATGTAATTTAAGTTTAAAATAGAAGTTTACACTTTTATTATTTGCTGTGGAAATATATTTTTTTAAATTCCACATTATTAAATAATTATTTTTTGAATGATTTAGGTATTCTTGAAAGTGTAAAACAAGAACTAAGTGTGCAGCGTTCTCAAAATGGTGAACTTGATCAACGTTTATCTTCTTTATTAGATGAATTGCGTGTAAAAAACGATAAAATTTCTGAACTTGAATCCCAGCTTGGCGAATTACAGGCTGCTAAGGTTTGTGGTTTTTCTTTCTTGTTAAGTGATACAGATTGTTGTTAAATAAATACCCAATAAATAATTCATGAATTCAGTCATGAAGTATTTTGTCTTATAAATTAAGTAATTTTTGATAAAATTTCTGACGGTTGAGAACTTTATTTTTGTATCTCCCTTATCCCCTGTTGTTTGAAAAATAATTTTTATTTTATAAATAGTCAGAGTAGTAAGATACTTCACCGTGGGCTGGATACAAGCAGTAAATCACCAAACATTTGTTTCAATCACTTTTATTGTCATTTCAACTATTTCTCATCATTTTTAAAAAAGATTTAATATGACAGAGCACTCAGTTATTGTACTCAGATTAAACTGTGCTTAATTATGATGAAAATTTAGCTTTGTCTGCTATAGGATAGTAAGGCGTAATATATATATATATATTTTTGCCTAGAAAAAGACATTTTGCAAGTAATACAGTTTGTATGAAAAATCATGAAATGAAATTGTTTTTGGAGGTGGGATTTAATGGCAGAACATTTCTACACGTTACAGAAGAATATTTGAAAAGGAACATGTCATTACATGAAATCTTATCTGGCTGAAATCATTGGGGGAGGGAAACAAGTGATCTGTTAAAAAAAATTACTGTATAATATCAAAAGTTTTTGTCTTCCTAATTGAAGTAAAGAAAACAACTTTTTCATTTTGTACCACAAATTTTTCTTTGATACTAAAATTAAATGCTTTTGGTTTATAGTATTGTTTCCCAGTTAGACATTTAAATGAAATAAGTGAGTGAAAGGCTTCCTTTTTTTTTTAATAGCCCAAAAGGGACGCCAATCCCGAATGGGATATTAGTCTCAAAATGGTATTTTGCATTGAATTATTATAAATGGTGTATCACTTTTTGAATTGTTGCCACAAACTATTATCTCCACGTATTATATTTAAAGAAATTAAATGATGAAGAATCTGCATGAATGTATGCATGTTTCTCTTATTGTGAAAAACAACGGTACCTAGAGCTATCAAAGTTTGAATAACGTACTCTTCCACCCGAACATGAATTCAAGCAACTGGAAGCTTGAATTTTGAATTTGTTTTATTATCTGTACCGTAATTTGTAAAATTTTTAACAAATTTCTGGTCAACAAACTTAATAATTTCAAAGCGAGCAGTGGCAACACTATAGAAAAAAACATTTTTATATCCAGCACACAAGACTGTCTATTTAAAATTCTGAAGCTGTGCTGTTTTTAAATACTGTGTGATTTTGCTATTGAATGTTATGTGTTGTAAGAATGTGATATTTAATAAATAAATTAAAGACACAAAACATTAATAGTAAAAATATATATATATATATATATATATATATATATATATATATAAAGCCATGAGTAGGAAAACTGAACATGGATATGATAACCTGAGAAAGGCTGAAAAAAACAGGAAAATGTATGCTAACAGTTAATGCAGCATCAGGAATTCTAAATGTATACTAATATGCTGCATTTAAAATTTGTGTAGTTTTGCTGTTGAATTGTATATGGCATAAATAAAAATGATGCTTAAGCTAAAAAGACACACACACACACACACACACAAAAAAAAAAAAAAAAAAAAAAAAAAGAGTTTAGTTGAGGTGAGTGTAACAGCAGACTGGTAGACTGCAAGTTCAGTGAGAGCATAAAAAACTATAACAAACTCATTTTGGTGACTGTTAAAATCTGAAATATTCGAGTTTTTTTTTTTTTTTTTTTTTTTCAATTTTATTTCTTGAACATGTATTTGTTTACCCTGTTGCTGTAGAAGTGTCAGTTCTTTAACCAAGGATGGCATAGTATGTCATTAGCGCTATATATATATATATATAAATCTGTTGTTGGTAACATTTGCTCCCAGCAAAGCATTTGAGTGTTTGTACAATTTTTAACTGAAATTACTACATTTGTATCCCCATTTCTTCAGGTAATTCATTTCAGAGCATACTACAGATATGTGAAACCAGAGATAATGTTGAAAGCCATGTGGAAATGAACATCCTTGTAGCATATGAATTCGGTGAAGTTTAATTGATAAAGTTGACTTAGTAAGATTTTATCTGGGATATCTTTTCATGTATTGTTAGAACAGTATTGTGAACTTAATAATTGCCACAGTTTTTGCTTTCGTAATGAATAAAACATCATGGCTTCTTAAATTTAGAAGCATTTGTTGCATCGCTAGTCTTATACTTGGAAGTCATTGTAATGCAAGTAAAAAATTTCTGAATGTGAAAGCTGTGATATAATATTGATAATGAGAACAAGAAGACTTAAAAGCAGAGCTGAGAGAAATTTAATAAGGAAATCTGTGTACATTTAGGAGGAGGAAAGATCATATGTTTTGAATACTGATTCTTTGCCAACATTTTTATGGCCATTATGGGAGAAAGTTCAATGAAGAAAAGTGCAATTCTGAGGAGCAACAAGTAACCTTTGGATGTATGTGAGATTCTAAAAATGACTATTCTCATCCCCAACACATATAGTTATGGTTGCTGCAGGAATATTGTGCTTCTCTTGTTTCAGTTGCTCTGCTTCATATTTGGCCACATGGTCATTTATCACTTGATGTACATTTTGGAACTCTAAAGTACTTTTTTCTTCTATTGTAAACCAGGCATAACTGAAACAGCAGGTTTTGAATCTCTGGATATGGGGATATGACTGTAATATAAAAATATTAACCCTGCATTCAAGAAATTAAGTTTTGCTTATACGAATTGCCTTCCTATGTAATGACTATCCTTAATCATTTGAATATAGTTTTTATATTTATTAAAAAAATAAATTATTTATATCTTTTCAGTTTAGAGCATAGTATATTCTAGTTAACAAGAAAGTTGTAAATAGCTCTTCTATTCTATTTATTATATTTTATTACTTTGTGATAGATTTATGAGAGTATGTGTTTTGTGTGAAATTAATTTTGAATTTGTAGAAAGATATTTAATATTAAAATAGGGCAGAACAAAATTTCTTATTTGAGAAGAAACGTGCTTGTTTATTTATTTATTTTTGAAAATTAAGTATGTGTGTTTATTCATTTCATTTAAATAATTTAAAATTTTTTAAAAAATTTTTAAATTTTATTTATTTATTATTTATTATTATTATTTTGTTCTTACAATTTATTGGATCTTTATATAATTATTTTTATTTTAGTTTTTATAAGCTAAGCAACAAGTCTAAATATTTATTTAGCTGAGTAAAACACATAAAAATATATGTTTTACTTATGCCAAATCTCTGAATTATTTCTATTCTGTATGTATATTTGTATAAAAAGGCTATTAATGTAGAAATGTAGTATTCTGTATGTATATTTGTATAAAAAGGCTATTAATATAAAAACTGTTAATGTAGATTCTTCAAATTTGTTAATAAACAGCATATATTTGCTGCCAAGGAATGAAGTTTTGATAAATGTTATGAAAAAATATTCTGAGTGCAGAAATCAATTATATAATATGAAGTATTGAGATAGGAGCGAGGTAGTCTGAGATAGCTAAATGAGAAATTTAAAATGTAATATTTTTAAGCTACTTTTAGAAGCTTTAAATATCTTTAGAAAATCCTTACTCTACTACAAGAGGGTTTATATCACTCAGGAAGAACATTAATTTCTTTCTAAATATGAAATGCCTGAAATGAAAGATATAAGAGCTTTCTGATGCTTTCTCTTGGATTGAAGGAGAGATCTTATGCAAGCCGTATTTTAATGCATTTATAAGGGCATTTGTTTGCACAGTGAGTTGGTAGCTGTGTGTCTGCAACTTAGTTTGCTCAGCTGAGGCCAGTAGACAAATATTCTCCTTCATTAATAAGCTTTTAGTCACATTCCAGATGTATTTGATTAAGAATTTGAAATATTTTTATCTTCCTAACTTGTAAAAGCAAATTATTTCAGAATACAATGAGATAGGAATAACAGTCATTGGCAAACTGTATCTCTATATTCAGTGCTATGCTAATAGTTATCAGATATTTAATTAAAATTGTGAGACTGTGTATTCATATCTTGCAAGATTCAGGTTCCGTTCTCATTTTAGAGGTCCAGTAGCTTTAATTTGTTTTATTTTGTTTATTTGATATGAACAATGCATATCTGCAATTTTTCACTTCATTTCTTAATAAATATGCCATTAAAATGATGTCTTCTAACTCACCAGATATATGAACACATTATTGATCAGCCTCTAATTTTTGTCCATCAGTGAAATAAACTTGTAGAAATTTTGGATTTTCATTTGGAAAGGGAAGAAGGGATCCATTTGTGTAGTAAATCTGCCCCTGTACCTTAAAAGTAGGCATGAAATCACTTTCTTGCACTATGTATGACATGCCAAATGATGCCATTTGAAACCTTGAGATGTATGCCATTTTATTTTTTATAAAGTGCTTTGATTAACACAAGTAAGGTAGCAAAGGCTCTAGAAGCTCATTAAATGGCAGCAGCTTCACTTTTTCATTGGCACAGCACATTCCTGTGGTTGGCACATATATTTCTTTGTCAAACAGTGATTACATGTGACATCCATCCATCCTGTTACAACTTCAGGGTGATTACAATAGTCTTAATCTGAGTTGTAACTGCTCCTAATTTTAGATCTGAATGTTGATTCACTATCCTCAGTTTCTTCCTTTTTATGTCACTCTTGCTGTACATGCAGCTGTCTTTCCTCTGAAGTTTTCCTTGAACTAAATATAGAAGCTATGACATGCTTCTGCTGTAAATGAAGCTCTCTTTCTGCCAAAGCTTCTCTTGACGTAGATGTAGAAGCTCTCATGTGCTCATACTGTAAATGAAGCTCTTTTTCTGCCAAGGTTTCCCTTGCTGTAAGTATAAAAGCTTTCATACACTTCTGTAGATGAAGTTCCCTTTGTACAGGTGTTTCCAATGCCCAAATAGCTTTTATTAATATTTATTTTTTCAAAAAAAAGCAATTATTAATTCATTGCTCAGCATGTATAACTTCTGCTAACAGACAACATGAATCTAAGATGGGTGATGTGTACTCAAGCTGGGTCTCATGAATGGAAATGTTTGAATAAATGCCCTGATCCTGTGGAGTAGTTTTTTTAAAATCTCTCTATAGACCTTACTCTTGTTTTGAAAGTCAAGTAGCAAAGCTACATCAGGGTTGGGATAAAACTAAATTTTTATGAATTACTTACACACATGCAAGCAAACAGATACTCCTCGTTATATATATGTATATATATTAATGATTATTGTTGAATCATCTTTTGTGCTATATTTGATAAAAGCCTCAGCCAATTAACCCTTTGCGGCACACTATACGCTAACATCGGAATTTCAACAAAAAAAGTTGTATGCAGTCTATTTAGTCTTAAAGGAGTATACAGGTAAAATTTTGTAAAAATTGCACTTACCGTTTTAATTCTGTGGGTGTTCCATGAGGTGGAACACTGCGCCGCCAGAGCTTTTAAAAGTGCGACTAAGCGAGCATTGCAGTGAAGCACGAAAATGAGTAGAAGCGTTTGTATAAGAATGAAAAAACTCTGTATTATGGCTGTATATATGGTTTCCTGGATATATACAATATTCTTGAATATATACGGATAAATGAGATAAATATTGTTAAACAAGTCCTATATACAAAAATATTTACAAATTTTCCTATTTCTTAGCTTCGTGAAATTGTTCAAAGGAAATCACACTTTTTGATGGAAGCACAAACTAACTTTGCGGGTTTTGCACATAAAACTTGTTTTGTGCGGCTTCTGCTTCATGCTACAATGTGCACATCGTCTATGTGTACCCTTCACCGGTATGTGTTCTGCACTACTGTAGTGTTTTCCCCCAGAAATCTTTACTTTATGCCTGGGAGTATCTTCAGGTCTTGAGGGACGTCGCCTCTTCAAAGTTATCTCTGACGCTTTCAAGGCACAGAGGGAACACAGCAAATTTAAACGGAAATCTTTGGGCTGTAATCCGAGGGTAATTCATGAAACACTTTTAGCGCTTCGGAAAGAGTTAGACCTCTCTGCGCCATTTATGGAAAATTAATAATAAAAAAATTAACTACGATTAATGTTAACAATAAAGAAAAATAAGCTTATAATATATACATACACGAAAAATATCTACACAATTATTGAAAATAAACGGGAATGAGACTAAAATGCGACAGCAAAAAATTCACGCAGGTCTAAGTAAAGATGAGTCCTATTAATAAACTTCCCACCTAAAAACGACTCCTAAAAAATTTGAGATGCCAATATTAGGGCTTTCATAACACAAAACACACCTCACCCCTCAATACTGCTTTGTTTGAATTCATCCCCCCAAAAAAAAAACTACGGAAACAGAAAACGTAAATAACGGATGTTCTCTCCTAAGCACAGATGTTATGATTCGTAACAGCATGAAATCGCTAAAGGCACAGTGTTCCCGCTAATGGAACACCCGGTTTCATTCAATGATTCTGCGTATGGTTTTTGTGTGAAAGATTAAAAAAAATATATAGAATAAATAATTTGGAATACAGCCAGAAAAATTATGCCTAATTGTTTTTCCAAATAAAATTTTTTATATCATTAAAAAAATAGAGAAAATTACTTGAAAAAAAGTGGATTTTAATAACACATAATAAATGAAAATTCTGTTTCTCCTTGTGATATGCTGCTATCTACTGTTTAAAAAGATTCAAAGTATATTATAAAGGCATTTTTATCTATTTACGGTTGAATTTAAAGGTTTTAGAAGCGATTCAATTTGGGTGTTCCATGTAGTGGAACACTGAGCCGCAAAGGCATCCGCGAATCAGAACATCTGTGCTTAGGAGAGAACATCCGTTGTTTACGTTTTCTGTTTCCGTTGTTTTTTTTTGGGGGGGAAGAATGAATTCAAACAAAGCAGTATTGAAAGGTGAGGTGAGCAGTATTGAGGGGTGAGGTGTGTTTTGTGTTATGAAAGCCCTAATATTGGCATCTCAAATTTTTTAGGAGTCGTTTTTAGGTGGGAAGTTTATTATTAGGACTCATCTTTACTTAGACCTGCACGAATTTTTATAATTATCTACTGTTTAAAAAGAAAGGTTCAAAGTATATTATAAAGGCATTTTTATCTATTTACGGTTGAATTTAAAGGTTTTAGAAGCGATTCAATTTGGGTGTTCCATGTAGTGGAACACTGAGCCGCAAAGGGTTAATCATTTTACTGAAATTGCTGTTTTTGACTTTTGCTAGTTATTTTGGATAATAATATTAAATGTTGAAGTTTTTTTATGTCAAATTTATTCATATTTATCAAATTAATTTTTTAAATTTTTATTATTTATTTATTTATTATTTACATTCCTTTTGTTGCTTAACTCCTGAGTAGTGGTATTTGCTTTAATTTCTGCCCTGTCATGATTGATTCATAAGCTATAAAAAGCAAGTAATTTCTGTTTCTTAGTTAAAATTAGAGGAAGATGTTCATGAACTGAAATCCAAAGTTCAGGGCCTTCAATCTGATTTAGACAACAGTGAAGCAGTTCAAAGAGATTTTGTAAAGCTGTCTCAATCCTTGCAGGCAAGTAGTATTTCTAATGGATGGGTTTTGCTTCCTCTTTCTGCGGATTGTGGCATGCTCTTGCACGTTTCTCTTTACTGCTTTTTTAATGTTTGTTTTGTTGCACTTATTGGGCAAAAATCTGTTCAACTATAAAATAACAGTAATAAAATTGTATTTTGTAATTATGTATGTGTATTAATTGTATGTGCAGTGAAATCATTAGTACATAATATTGAAAATGAATTGCTGATATTAAATTTGATTTAAGTTGACAATGTATAATTTTAAAATAATCTACTTGGTTCCTTCAAGGAAAATTTTGGAAAAAGTTTGTTATTGTAAATTAGATTGTTAGATTATATTATTCAACTGTTAGAATCAATTAGAAATAAATAAATTATCATGAAAATGTCTTTCTTCCCTTCATATTTTTTTTTTAACATGTAAGTAAAATGTATTGTGGCTAAGAATATATGTAAAGTCTGAAAAAAATTGTATTATGGTTATGTAAAATTAGGTATTTGTCTAATATTCAGGGAGAGATGATATGCAATTACAGAAATTCACTTACTTCTAACCATTTTGTTCTTTGGCCAATTTAGCAACCATATTGAAAATAAATATAGGATCATATAAAAAGTCTCTGTGGTTTCTTTCTTTCTTCTTTTTTTTTTTTTTTTTTTTCTTGGCTACTAGTTGGTGTTGATTCCTATACATCCTCCAACACTCACCCGATTATGTGAAATGAACATGTGCTTAAAATGTGACATTCAGCTTCCATTGCTTGTGAAGATATTTTTAGAATCTAAAAATTTGTGAAGTGTATGTTGAGAAAGTTGTGAGGGAACAAAGGCCCCAGGAGTGGTTTGCTCGATTCCATTCTGGGAATTTTGATGTCAAAGATGCACCTCGCTCTGGTCAGCCAGTCACTGAAAAAGTCGATGAAATTTGGCAACTATTGGAGCAAGACCGGCACACAAGCTGTGAGGAAATAGCGGAAGCACTAAAAATCAACCTCATGACAGTTTGGAATCATTTGAAAAGGACAGGCTACAAAAAAGAAGCTCGATGTTTGGGTGCCACATGAGGAGTTGTCCATTATGAGCTGCTGCAACCTGGCGAAATCATCAGTTCTGTCCTATACTGTGCACAACTCTACTGTTTGAACAGAGATATCCAGAAAGAGTGACTAGATTTGGCTAACAGAAAGGGAGTTGGGTTCCATCATGACAATGCGCAACCACACATATCTTTGACGACTCGGAACAAATTGACGGAACTTGGTTGGGAAGTTTTTATGCATCCACCATAAAACTTGGACCTTGCACTGTCTGACTACCATTCGTTTCAATCTCTGCAAAACATTCTTGATGGTAAAAAATTGGCGACCAAAGTGCCACTGAAAATCACTTGGCCAAGTTTTGAGGATAGGATAAACCACAGAAGTTCTACACCGATGGAATTATGAAACTACCCGAAAAATGGCAAATGGTCATAGATAATAACAATCAGTATGTACTTGATTAAAATTGATTTTCAACAAAGAAAATTTTTGTTAAAAAATGCACCAAAAATCCGTGGAGTCTTTTTATGTGGCTGAATATTAACATAATTTATTGAAAACATAAACAGTTGAAATAGCTTGGTATGTCTTGTTGCATTTTATTAGGCTGGAGTAAAACAACAATAAAAAACTTCTTTAAAAGAAGAGGGGATAAATTTGATCCCAAGGAAGCTGATGTGAAGCTAACAGTGTTCATCTGCTACAAGAATTTTTAAATATCTTACCTGTGAAAGAGAAGACAAATATGCAGCACCGAGACCTGAGCATAGTGCCATTTGGGGGACAAATCATTTGTCTATTCACAAATACACTCATAAATGTGTGGCAGGCATATAAAGGAGAAGTGCATTTATTTCTCATGTATGTAAATTTGTTGAAGATCATTAATATATTCGTATTTTTGGAAATCTGCTAAACAAGTGGACAAGTGACGGAGACGTGAGCACCACCTCTCTGACATAGTGGTTAATTGGTATAGCACCACGTCCTCCTTGTCTAGAGCACCCCAAGATGGTATGGAAAAGGGTGAAAGGCAACAGGATCCCCTCACACAAGTCACCGATTTAAAATAATGCTAAGGTTTGTAAAGCTTATCCATTACAATCTTGTGGTAAATACCATATGTAACGGTATTATCTGTACAAAAGTTTTCTGGTATATTTATTTTTGCTTCGATAATCATCCATTTTTATAAAGTCATTTCTTTTTGAAAAATGATGAGAGTGATTAGTTATATATTACTCAATAGACTCAGTATCACTCAATATTATTTAATCTGCTAAATAGAGAAACAGCCAAATTTGAATTATCGCTAGTTTCAGAGTAGCCCAGATGCTTCTTCAGCTTCCTGAATGGGAAGTGTGAAAACCATACTTACTCGCAAGATACATTAGCGTGGAGGTAGCACGCTCAAGTAGAAAATTCAGCTGGTACTAGGGACTTGTATTGCAGATTCGGGCCTTGCTTTTTCCTACCTTTAATGATGGTATAAATACACCAGTTTTTTTTTTTTTTTTAAATCTATTGCAATATTTTTTTTGGGAGGGGACGACACAAAAACCTTGCATTTATTTTTCATTTCATTTCATTCATCATTCATATAAACATAATTTTTGCTCGGCATTGTGTTCATTATCCTTCTTTTGACAATGAGCCTTTGGTTATAATTCATAAGATCTGACTGCTATAATCTGACTCTATTTCGGCTGACACGAGACTAGCAAAAGCGATACTGGTATTAGTACAAAGTTGCTGTTTCATCTAATTAAAAAATTTGTGAATTTTAAATGAGTGGTGATGAGTAAACCATTTGTTTAAAAAAAATAAGAAAACTGTTATTTATGCAGAAAAGAAGCTTGTTGGTATGTAGCTGATTTTGCGGCTCACACGTTAAGTCAACTCATGTGTAGTTATGGAATACTTTTATGCATTTTAATGGCTTCATGTATTTTTTTTCCTTAACATGCATGACCACTTTTCGAACAGTTTACATATGAACTTAAACAGAGGTTTAATCTTGATGATAATTTTTCATTAATTTAAAGAAGTTTTGCATGAGCATTAGCAAATTTGCTAATTATGTAATTCAATTTTAACACAGAAAAAGAAGTATTATATAAAATGTAGTTAATTCATTGAGTTTTAGATAAAAGTGATCTTATAAAATAAACCTTTAGATAGTGACTGTTCATTAATATATGAATGACTAACTGACGTAATTTCTGTTACATTTAGGTAAAAAATATGAACATAAGGCAGAAACTAAAACATTTTTTAAAAAAATTGCTGTTGTTTATTAACTTAAAAATAACTACTTTTTTAAGTGTGATAATTAAATTAGTAATGCTGTAAATCCTACATATATTTAAACTTTTTTATTGAATTATTTAAACCAGTTAAGGGAAGTTCATTTAACGGAAGTTCATACATCATGCAAAAACATTTATGGTATTCTACCCCATGAAAAATGTACTTACCAAAATAGAATCATGCAATTAGGATTTTTTAAATTATCATTCAAAATTCATAAATACATTCAATTAGACATGTACAGCGTTAGATATATACAACGATCCTTTTCTGGAATATCCTATTTCTATCTTCCAAATGATTCTTTCCTGCCATATTCTGACAAAAATTAGTATTCTGCTTTTGAATAAATAATTCAATAAGGGCTAAAAATTCATCAAATTGATGATGTGTCATGCAAATATAATTAAAAGAAATTTCATTTCGCTCAGGCACATATTTTTCAATTAAATTATTTGCATCTCCTTGCTGCAGTCATCTATCACATATTAATATAAACCACTGAATTTTGCTTCTTTTACACAAAGCAAGAAGTAAAATAAGTTTTAATTGAGCAGAAATTAAATCCATGTTAATTAAAAAATGCAATCGTAAAAAGTCAAAGTACTGCACAAAAATTTTACATTTCCCCCCAAGTTTAAGATATGAAGAGCCATCTAGTGCGAGTATATGACAACTTTTAAAGTGAAAGTTGCCGCACTGGTGTGAACTGATGTAAGCTGTAACATTGGTCCGTTGGAGCAAAAAGCATCAACGTGGAAAAATACGCTTCCCGCGTACCCCAGCGCTCATTGAACTATTTATTCAAAAGCAGAACGCTCATTTTTGTCAGAATCGCAGAATTGAATCGTTTAGACGATAGGAATAGGATATCCCAGAAAAGGATCGTTGTATATATCAGACGCTGTATATATCTAATTTATTTATGAATTGTTTTGAATGATAATTAAAAACTCTTAATTGCATGATTCTATTTTGGAGAGTAAATTTTTCATGGAAAAGACTACTATAAATGTTTTTGTATGATGTATGAACTTCCCTAAAATGCTTCCTTAAATAAACTTCCCTTCATTGGTTTAAATAATGCAATAAAGAAGTATATATATTTTTTTACTTACTAAAGGTTTATTTTATAAGGTCACTTTTATCTAAAACTCAATTAACTGCATTTTATATAATACTTCTTTTTCTGCGTTAAAAATTGAATTCCACAATTAGTAAATTTGCTAATGCTCATGCAAAAGTTCTTTAAATTAATGAAAAATTATCATCAAGATTAAACCTGTCAAAAAGTGATCATGCATGTTTAGAAAAACAAATATGAAGCCATTAAAATTCATAGAAGTGTTCCATAAAATCAGCTACATACTAGCAAGCTTATTTTCTGTATAAATAACAGTTTTCTTATTTTTTTTTAAACAAATGATTTACTCATCATCACTCATTTTAAATTCAGCACTCATTAAATTTTTTAATTAGATGAAACAGCTACTTTATACTAATACCACTGTTGCCTTTGCTAGTCTCGTATCAGCCGAATGTCAAAAGAACAAAAGAAGGATATGCGAGCGAATGCATGCCGAGCAAAAATCGGGTTTATATGAATGATGAATGAAATGAAATGAAAAATAAATGCAAGCCTCTC